ACTTGCTAACAGGATTTTTATTGTGCCTTATTTAAGTTTGATTAAAATTCTAAACTGCCTTGAGAGGACCCCTTTATCCTATAGATTGCCTGTTAGCTTTATAAATATTTTATTTTATATTTGCACAATCAATTTATTGCAATCATTTGGCAAGCTAAATACTTCCACACAGGTGTTTTCTTTCTCATTTTCTTTCCTTCCTTTTCCCATGCTTTGTCTGTAGAAGAAATGATGCATTATCTATCTAATCATATAAATAACATCCCAATGAATAATTATGATGGCACCTAAGATAGCTATGTCAGGTGCGGTAAACATTCTACAACAGAAGAAACCCTTGAGCAATTATTTTGCAACACTCTTACCTGCATTTGTCACAATGATTTTTTTCACACGATGCACCCAGGAAAAGAACAGTGGATGCCTGAAGTGCTGTTTAAATTAGTAGAATGTATGATGAAGAACAAACACCTATCAAAAATTCTAGAAGTTCACAAATACGTAGGGATCTTATATAATATGCTGTATTATATAATAATATCATCCTGAAACTTCTTGATCTTCAATATAAATTTGACTTCAGTATAAATCTATCCACCAAAACATTGGTAGGGAGTTAATAAGATCTTAATACTGATGTGGAGGCACAATGGCTTGGCGGTTAAAGACGCTGAGCTTATTAATTGGAAAGTTGACAGCCTGGGGTTCGAACCCAAGTACCACATGATAGGGTGAGCTTCCGTTTCTTGCCCCAGCTCCCACCCTTTCAGGAATTTGAAAGCATGCTAATGTGAGTAGATAAATAGGTAACACGGATGGAAGCAACGGATGGAGATTAATCAAGGAGAGAAGCAACCTAGAACTAAGGAGAAACTTCCTGACAGTTAGAACAATTAACCAGTGGAACAACCTGCCTCCAGAAGCAGTGAATGCTCCAACACTGGAAGTTTTTAAGAAGAGACTGGACAGCCATTTGTCCGAAATTGTATAGGGTTTTCTGCCTGAGCAGGGGGTTGGACTAGATGACCTCCAAGGTCCCTTCCCACTTTCTACTACTACTACTACTACTACTACTACTACTACTACTTTGATGGGAAGGTAACAGTGTTCCATGCACCTTGGTGTATCGTAATGCTGGCCACATGACCCCGGAAAATGTCTTCAGACAATGCTGGATCCCTCAGCTAAGAAATGGAGACAAGCACTAACTCTCTAGATCAGACATGCCTGGAAAGTGGAAATTTTTACTTTTACCTTTTTAATGCTGATGTAGGACAATTTTAAAAAACAGTATTTCAAAGTTCTGGTCTTTGTTACTTCCAACTAAGTGTCCAGATAGCTTAACTGACTAATTGTATAGAGCTGATGCTACTGCATCATTTTTTTTTTATTTCCCCTTAATATTAATTTAAACTCACTTTTTCTCTTTAACATTATCAAATTCATCAATAGATGTATGTTTCAAAATAAAAGAAAAAAATAAGTCATTTTGGGATATTTTCCCAGCAACACTTTTAATCCTTAAAAAAAAAAAACAAATCTGCAGATTAGTATAAAAATGGGACAGAATGGAGATAGGAGTGAATAGGTACTGTATAATGGCTTAAGAAGATGGGTGAATGTTCTCTTTTGGACTAAGAACTGTATAAACATTCTGTAAAAATGTTAAGCAGTGTGCAATATACCATAACCTTATTTTAAAACTAGTATCACATATAGATGTCTGATATCTCTGTATACACATGAAGCAAAAGATATAAAAAAAAAAGTAGGATATTCTAAACTAAAAAGGGGAATTTAGTGGATTGAAATTCACATTGTCTTAAATTTTTAAAAAATGATGTCTTCTTAATATAATTACAATAAGACATTTTAATGAAATAAAAACAGTACAAATATTAAAAATGGAACAAAGAGAATAAGAAAGAATAGCGAATAAAAATAGATAAGGAAGAAAACAAAAGAAAAAAGATAATAATTATGGTTCTAACTGCTGCAAAGTAAATCAGAAGTGCAGACATTTTTGTTTTTCCTTCTTCTCTTTTCTTGACTTTTTCTTTCATGTTATCATAATTTTTTATTTTGTCTAATTCTTTATGTTTTTTTTAGCTTTTAAATCTTACTAAAATTTTCCTCAAGGAGGGAAAAATTATTTGATCCCCTGCTGATTTTGTACATTTGTCCACTGACAAAGAAATGATCAGTCTATAATTTTAATGGTAGGTTTATTTTAACAATGAGAGACAGAATAGCAACAAAGAAAATAAAGAAAAATGCATTTCAAAAAAAGTTATAAATTGATTTGCATTTTAATGAGTGAAATAAGTATTTAATCCTCTATTAATCAGCCAGATTTCTGGCTCCCAGGTGTCTTTTATACAGATAATGAGCTGAAATTAGGAGCACTCTCTTAAAAGGAGTGCTCCTAATCTCAGCTTGTTACCTGTATAAAAGACACCTGTCCACAGAAGCAATCAATCAATCAATCAGATTCCAAACTCTGCACCGTGGCCAAGACCAAAGAGCTGTCCAAGGATGTCAGGGACAAGATTGTAGACCTATACAAGGCTGGAATGGGCTACAAGACTATCATCAAGCAGCTTGGTGAGAAGGTAACAACAGTTGGTGCAATTATTTGCAAATGGGAGAAACACAAAATAACTGTCAGCCTCCCTTGTTCTGGGGCTCCATGCAAGATCTCACCTCGTGGAATTTCAATGATCATGAGAATGGTGAAGAATCAGCCCAGAACTACACGGGAGGATCTTGTCAATGATCAAAAGGCAGCTGAGACCATAGTCACCAAGAAAACAATTGGCAACACACAATGGACTGAGAATCCTGCAGCGCCTGCAAGGTCCCCCTGCTCATGAAAGCACATGTACATGTCCATCTGAAGTTTGCCAATGAACATCTGAATGATTCAGAGGAGAACTGGGTGAAAGTGTTATGGTCAGATGAGACCAAAATCGAGCTCTTTGGCATCAACTCAACTCACATATTTGGAAGAGAAGGAATGCTGCCTATGACCCCAAGAACACCACCCCCCACCATCAAACATAAAGGTAAAAACATTATGCTTTGGGTGTGTTTTTCTGCTAAGGGGACAGGACAACTTCGCCGCATCAAAGGGACGATGGACGGGGCCATGTACCATCAAATCTTGGGTGAGAAGCTCCTTCCCTCAGCCAGGGCATTAAAAATGCATCGTGGAGGGGTATTCCAGTATGGCAATGACCCAAAACATATGGCCAGGGCAACAAAGGAGTGGCTCAAGAAGGAGCACATTAAGGTCCTGGAGTGGCCTAGCCAGTCTCCAGACCTTAATCCCATAGAAAATCTGTGGAGGGAGCTGCCAAACGTCAGCCTCAAACGTTATTGACTTGGAGAGGATCTGCAAAGAGGAATGGGACAAAATCCCTCCTGAGATGTGTGCAAACCTGGCAGCCAACTACAAGAACCGTCTGACCTCTGTGATTGCCAACCAGGGTTTTGCCACAAGGTACTAAGTCATGTTTTACGAAGGGGTCAAATACTTATTTCACTCATTAAAATGCAAATCAATGTATTTATTATTTATCTTGAATTACAACCCCCCCCCCAAAAAAATTATGTTTAACAATGTTCAGGCAATTGATAAAGAGTACACGAATTCAAAGGTATAATGCAAGTCTCATAGCAGTAATCTGAACAACTGTCTTGGAACTTTAGATTGACCAATGAGAAAAGAACATTTGATTTGCATACAATAATTCTCTGGAGAAAGTTTCTTTCATTTAACTACGAAGGAAACATCATCACTATAACTTAATTAAAAGAGGAACTACAGGAACAAAGAGATGCTGACTCCTTGGTGTTCCTCTGGCCTTCCTGTTCTTTTCAGATCAAAACACATTAAGATTTCCAGGTAAAGACAACAATAAAATATATGACAAAACTACATATGAACAAAGAAACAGCACACCTAAACATTTCTGTAACAAATCATTTCAGATCTCTATCATTAGGCCACATTTGTGCCTTTCATTGCTCTTAATATTGTTGCCTACAATCATTTGTAGAAAATATGGTATCTATTAGTCTCCCCAAAGGCACCATCTGATTCTCTAAAATAAAATAAAAACATGTACTTTGAATCCCCAAAATTTTATGAGATTTGTCACATTTATTTTAACATCCAGGTCATTATATAAGATTAGGGGTCTTCAAAACTTGGCCCTTTTATGACTTGTGGACTTCAACTCCCAGAATTCCTCAGCCAAGCACACTGGCTGAGGAATTCTGGGAGTTGAAGTCCACAAGTCATAAAAGGGCCAAGTTTGAGGACCCCTGTATAAGATGACACAATACTATTGGGAAGTGGAAAATGCTTGTGAGTCATATCAATATCACATATTATATTGACAAACCTAGATGTGTATTATTAATAAATCTTCATTATAATTCTTCATTCATTACAATTCATTATAATTCTTCATTCACCGCACATTTTTAACACCTTACGATTTCTCCCCCCCATAACCCTCACTATTCATTCTTGCACATTCTTTCTATGGTCCTCATATGAGACTGAAAGTGAAAGATGAATGGGTTGCCTAATATAATAGGGTAGGGTTTTTTGGCTGAGGAGAGTTAAGCTAAATAGTTCTTGGTTCACAGCTCAGACATTTAGCCATAGTGCATGACCAATTTCACCATAGATTAAAATTTTTACCACCAGGTATGAGGACTGTTTAAAAATGTATACCAAAGCTGCTTTCTTCCTACTGAGAAGCGAAGTGACTTAAATGTTAATCATTTAATTGTATAATATTTAATGAGTATAGGATTAGTTTTTACTGAGTACATAAAAGACTTCTGTGGCCTTTTCTCTGTCCCTTGTTCTCCTTTCACTTATAAACAAAAGAATTATTTTAAAAAGAATGCTTTCCTTTTCTTTTTATGTAGACATTTCCGCGAAGAACCACTGTGAGTAAATAAACACAGGTACTATAACTTACCTCAGCTGTACATACTTTGCAAGTTGGAACATTTTCATTATGAAGACTCTGTAAAGTAGAAATGCAGGCATTTAGTAATAAAAAACGATTTCACAAATGGAAACAGTAGATGATAAAATGTATATATGAAAATACATTAGCATCATCTGCTTGGCAGTATTAAAGACTCACGGGGTGAGTTGAGTAACGAAAAATGAATGTTTTACAGTTTCAGAATGTGTTTCATATGTGATAATTGGTACCATTCTTGCATTTTAATTTTTTCATTTTATGCTAATGCTCTTAATTAGTCCTCAAGTCAATAAGGCACAAAAAGATAATGGACAATCGGCACAATGCAGGGCTTGGGATTCTGACTTCTTTCTGAGCTTTAGAAATAAGTACGCATTTGGTGTTCAGCATTCATTCTCCAAAAGAAAATAGATCTTGCGCCATTTGGTGTGACAAAGCATCCAAAAAGTGTTTGCTTTTGTGGCATATTATTGGGGATTTTAAGTATGGTGTATTTATTTATCATGGAACCCAACTTATTTAGACTTCTAAAATGAAGCACAGCTGCACAGCTGCAGTATTTAGTATTCACTGCACCTGATGGTTTCAAGAAATCCATTCATAACTAGAGGCTGCTTTCTTATTTACCAATGCAAAAATGTAATCCTGTGTTTCCCTTCCAAAATGAAGTTGTTTAAAAAGAGAAATTGAAGGGCATAAAAATAACAAAACTCTATAATTAAGGCCCATCTGATAGGCCCAGGGCCTTTCCCCCTTGATCCTAACCATGATACAAACATAATCCAGCAAACTCATTGTTCGTTATATCTTCATGAGATAGCTTTTAGCTAATCCAAAATTACTATCTGAAAAAGCTTAAAGGTGTTCCCAGCTGTTCCATGGCATAGTAGTGTTTTACCTGCAAGTAGGAAATAAGTGGTAGCAGTTTTGCCATGAATGACATCTGACAGAGTATACCGTCTTAATTATGTGGCCCCTTAGAAATTGACACCAGCTAAGCTGGTGTCCTCTGTCTTCCTTATCTAGGCACTGTGTTTAAAACATTTCTTTGAGGCAGGGAAAACCTTACTTTCTTCCAGTGATCAAACCTATAAGCCAACTGAATGATTCAGAGGAGAACTGGGTGAAAGTGTTGTGATCTCTCTCCCTCTTTCTAATTTTATGACACAGTTTTCTTCATGCCTATCACATAATTATCAGAATCACCTAATTCCTTTTGAACAAACGTTTAGCACTATTCAAGAAGACCACCCTTCCAAGATTAGCATTTAGCCTACATCCAAAAGGTCCCTAACTCTTTGAAAGCTCATACAAAAGAACAGTTTGGCAAAACTAGAACGAGGTTTATTTATATCACTTCAAAACTGGTTAACAGTATACAGGTTGTCCTTAGCGTACGACAAACTGGGAAAATCTACCAATCTCTATAGTTCACAGTCTAGTATACTGGATATAACACTATGTATTAGCACAGTGCTTGTGGCAAAATAGGGGACATCAGGAGGAGCAGTGAATCTTGTGCCATTACGGTCTTCAGATGGCTCAAAGATTAGTGGATAGCCTGAGGCAGCAGCATCAAATATGGCACAATAAGCCCAAATTAGCAAAAGGTAAAAATTAGGAACCGCAGACTCAAAAGCATGTTTAATGGAGGGGAACAAAAACTTCAGCCACACTTACAACATACATTGAAAGAAAGACATCCTCTTCAGACATTTATTTAGTTCCATTTACGAGGCATTGGAACAAAATTCACATTGACCCATTATGAAACTGATGCAACACTTCATTTGGAAGAATAAGCAGATTCTCATAGGAGATAGTCCTTCAACGGTCCATTTAGAAAAGGTTATTGGGACTGCACTTGAAACCAATGTAATAGCTAACAAAATAAGTTGATTATAGATTCAATATATCAAGCTATTTGAAGTTTCAGAGTGCTCTTCAAGAGTAGTCCCTGAACTGAGAGGTAACTAATGCATGGATCATATCCAGTTCTGACCAAGAATAAATGCATTGGCACAGTACATGAAGCAAGGAAAAGCATCTCCGACCACCACGCATGCCTATATATCCATTAACTAGCCAAGGTTAAGGAGTTCGGATTTATTAGGCCAAGAATGGGCATTATGCCCAAACTTGGTTCTCCTTTAATCTGCTCTGACTTGCTCCAAGTCTTGTAGAATTTATCAACATCTACTTATTAACTTCATAGCACATATAAAAATTACAGTCACTCTGTTCAATACTAAGCACATAAGACTACTAAGTCGGGATAAACCCTATATCCCAGTGACGTCAACTAAGAGAATGCTACTCTTCTTTTGCTCAGTTTTGGATATATGAGTTTATTTTGCTTCGTGGACAATTTGCACTCTCATAGTCACACTTTAAATCATGTTACCAAAAATATCTATTCTGACATCCAATATCAGGGCTGACTCTAGAGAGACACAATTAGGGTAAATCTTAAAGGATGTTCCCTGCTCACTTTTCAATAAAAGGAAGTGAGGGTTTTAATTTTGTCTTTCCAACACCTGCATTGCAGTGAGATAAGGGCTAGAGGGAAGAAAATGTGTGTTGTGTGCATGCAGATGTGTGTATGAATGTGTGTATGTGGCCTGATTCACCATCTTGCACTGCACATCATCTTCATGGCAAAAACACATCTGTGCTTTAGATAACTGTTTTCAGTACATTTATTAATGTGATTGGCTTGCCTTATTAACTGCCTTCGAGTTTGGCATGAGTATTCAAGATGGCTCCTGCTTTAAATGGCCAGAAAATAATAGGAAATAAAAATAGAAGAACACATGAAACACAAAAAAGATCATCGCTGACTTTTAATGACTTGGTGAAAGGGACGTGGCAGACATTCCTTTGGGGATACATTCCCTAGAAGTGATATCGAAGAACTATTTCGGCATGATCAATACTTGAGCCTCAGATTGTGGAGGCACTTTTAAAAGGTTCTCACTTGTAGGTCCTAAGGGCTGAAGAGATTCACAAATGGAGAAGTGACCACTCGGGCAATCAGGACCTAAGCAATGTATAACTTAAAGGGCAGAGTCTTAAGCTCAGGGTTGAATGTTGAATTGTGCCAATAAGAGCAATTGGCAATCCAGGTATTAAGTCATCCAGGTAACCTTGTATCGGTTAGTAGCCTAACACATTTTGCAGCAGCTAGAGCTCAGGTGTAAAATTATAAGCCCACCAGGATCAACATAGCTTGCTGTGTGAGACAGAATACCACAGGACACCTTCTTCTGTTGGATTGACTCAGATACTTTATTTTGTCTCTTGTGATACAAAACCCAACATCAGTTTTCACATCCTTCATAAGAAGAGTGCAGGAACTGATTTAAATGAGCAGCAATCTCTTCTTCTTTCGCAATACCTCAGATCAACTGATCAAAATGGCTGCCTCTTTCTCTTTTCTAGTCACTCTTTCCAAGTATACCAGACAGGAAAAACAACTAGATGAGTAAATCTACTTTATTGTAAGGCTACATTAACAGAATCTTGGAAGATACCAATTTTCCACTGCTACTTTTAGCCAACTTACCAATTACGGCAAGTCCTTCCTAAGTTTTTTTCTGTGACCACTAAGCCCTTGGGGGCTCCCCTTCCTCTGGTCTGATTGTTTCCTAGGCAACATCTCTTTCCCTCATCCCCCAAGGTCATCCACACATTGCATTACATCTGCCTCCTGAGCATGAAAAGGGAAAAAATTCTGCCTCTAGTTTAGTATCAATCCCCCACATATTCCAGGAAGATTTAGCAGGGTTAAATGAGCAGGGTTTCAAGAAGGCATCACTTCTTGGCTTGTTTTATTCCTGTTAAATAGAATTGTTAATTGCTTTGGCTTTAGACAACTTTTTTTTGCACAGGACTGTCCTATTCAAATAACTTTTTAATCTTTTTTTATTAAGTTTTGACAGGCATGTTAAGCCCATTGAAGCTCTTCTTGGGAATTTTTCTTTGTTGCCAAATTGCATTAGTGCAATCTAGGGAAACACTGTGGGCCACACATGACCTGCATCTTCTTCCTCTTTGGCTTAGCGTATTGAATAGATACAAATGAGAGCCAGTTTGATGCAGTGGTTAAAAAATTCGGCTAGAAACTGGAAGAACATAAATTCTAACCCTGCATTAGGTACAAGGCCAGTTAGTTGACTTTGGGCTAGTCCATTTCTCTCAGCCCTGAGAAAAAGGCAAAAGCAAACCACACACACACACACACACACACACACACACACACACACAGAGAGAGAGAGAGAGAGAGAGAGAGAGAGAGAGAGAGAGAGAGAGAGAGAGATCTTTGAAGAAACCACAGATTTAGTTATATCACATTTATAGTATACCTGAAGAATTTGTAGTTACTCTTAGGCTGACATTTCAAGGAAAGAAACCAAAGCATGAAAAAAAAAACCCTACCAAATTCAATGATAAGTTGCAAGAAAGGAGTTGTGTGCATTTTTTTATGTAGCTATTCAAATGTGAAAACCCTCAGTTTAAAGGACTTATTTCCAAGAAATATGTATCCATATGCAGTGTTTCAGGCTTGTTTGCTTATTTGAGGTAGAATGGACATTAGAGAAGATAATACAGAAATGAATTCAAAAGACCTGAGTTTATGAAGAATGTCTCCTGTTTGTTCTTTCAAATAAATTTTGTCTGTTTTTTCCCCTTCCTGTTATTGTTGGGTTAATAGGCATATTATTAAAAGGATGAAAGCATTTGGTATTTTATGAACCAAATGTAAGAAACCAGTGTTGATATATAGGCATTGCTCTCTGTTCCTAAGGAACCACATTAAGCAGGAGTTCTCTCTAGCACCTCTCTCAACTTTTCATTTTTCTGGGGAAATATATAACATTACCATCTGTAGGTAGCCATTGTCAAGGGAAATATTTTTCTTCCACTTTCTGAAAGGACATAATTTATAATATGAAATTAAAAGCATCAAATTAGTAACCCAATCCCTGTATTCCAGTTTAATGAAATAGCGCCTTCATTGCATTATTGTTTTGTGC